ATTCCACCTTTTGGTAAATTTTACTGTTAGGTAAATCTGGCAATCTGCGAATGTGATTGGATAATCTTGCTACTTACCCAACAGGTAAAATTTACCAAAAAGTGGAACAATCGGCCCTTAGTGAACTGGGGATGGGCTATTGCACCGAAAATATCGAAATCGTCAATATTACATCAATATGTATCGCCGATTCAAATATCGATACAACTAAATATCAGTGAATAAAATATTAATATCGACACGAATCGTGTTTTCTAGCAAAAAATTATAACACGTTCTTCGTATAATTGTATTTTTATTTAATTTTATAAGCTACAATTACGTTTACATTAAAAACTTTCTCGGAACTAAAATGAAAAGTTATATTTTGTATAACAGATATACAAAATTAGTGATTATAAAATAATAGCAAATTAGCAAGCTGTGCACAATTTACGATTGAAAATATCCGAAGTTTTACTTGTATCGAATATCGATACAATGTAAACATAAAGCGTCGATATTTCAAAATATCGAAGTCTGAAATATCGATATCTCAACTCAAAAATATTGATATTACGAAATATCGATACTGTATCGCCACCCCTATAGTAAACGCAAGTGAACGTTAGAGACGTAAACAAAGCGTGTGCAAGACCAAAGGCTCTAACGAAAATGAAATTATCCAAATACATTCATTTAACGTATTCCCAAGAGAACTTAATAGACTTTTTAGTTGAACATCGTTTATTAGTAGCTACAATGAATTGTGATAGCTGTAAAGAAATTATAGATTTAAATGAAGAAACATTAACATTTGTATGTAAAAAAAAAGCCACTACTGAAAAAGAACATAATAAAAAAAGCCTAAACGCAATGTGTAATTTTAAGAAAAGTGCCACGAAAGGAACATGGTTTGATAGGCTCGACACAGATCTGCAAATAATATGTAGGCTCACAGCATATTTTGTTATGGTGCCACGTACGCGGCAAAAATTTTTGCGTTACGAAACTGGTTTATCAGTACCTACGATTAATGAGTGGATAAAATATTGCAGAGAGGTAAATATGGATATATCTATAATTATAATGTGTAATACATAAATATGTACAATTTAAATTATATAAATTATATTAATACGATAGGTATGTGTATATTGGGCGAAAAAGAACAGTCAAAAGCTTGGAGGTCTAGGAATGACTGTCGAAATCGACGGAGCAAAAATTGGCCGAAGGAAGAATTGTGATGTGACCAAAAAGATCAAAGGTGACTGGATATATGGTGGCTTCGAACGGGAAACGAGAAGAATCTTTATTGTACCAGCAGAAACTGGAACGAAAGAATCATTGTTAAAAACAATAAAGGAATGGATACTTCCCGGAACAAGTATTGTTTCACATTTTTGGAAGGCTTACAATTGTCTTAACGACAGAGGATTCAAAAGCCTGAAGAGAAAGCATTCATATAAGTTCGTTGATCCCAAAACTGATAAGATAGCAGATGGTAAATATATAAAATTGAATTTCAGTAGTTATATCAAAGTATTACCGTATTTATTTTGATTTGTAGATACACATATTCGAGAGATTGAATCTTGCTGGAGAGAGGTTCGAGCACATATGCCAAGACCTGCGTCCTATTCTCTTCAATGTTTCAGTGAATATCTTTTTAAACGCGCGAATGATTTAGATGTACGTATAGAAACGTTTTTTGATGTTATTGCAGATATGTATCCACCAAAACGTTGAATTACAACATTACAAACATTGCAGCAACATCGCGAAATATAGATTCCATGTCTTATAGCTATTATAATTCAACATTGCTTCAACATTGATTCAATGTATATGCAATGTAGATTTTATTGATTCAATATTTATTCAACGTCCATTCAACATCTATTCAATGTATAAGCAGAGATTAAATGTACTTAGATTTCACGTACATTAAGTACATTTCATATTTTCAAAAGAATTGAATGAATCTGCACGAAAAAATTAGTCTTTAAATTGTGAGAAAAATGAAAATTTTAAAAATATTGATTTTTTTTATTATTTAAAATTGATTCGTTATCTGTCTTTTTTAAAATTGTACTATTTATTTGTAAATATCAAAGTATATTTTGACATACTAGAAGAATTTTAAATAAAAAAAAAGAATCATTATTTTTAAAATTAAATTTTCCTACAATTTAAAGATTAATTTTACACATTTATTTTATTCAATTCTTTTAAAAATAAAAAAATGTACATAATACAAAGGTAACTTAAAATCTTCACAAAATTAAGAATCATTTTATGTAATTGGTTTTGTTTTTATTGGTAAAGTAAATGTGTGTTTTTTTCTTAAAACTTACATTTTGTGTATTGTATGACTATTACAATTATATCCCGTATATTCTGTAATTGTAAAACTTTCTATTTAAAAATATTATATTATTATATAATGCATCATTTGTAACTTAATCTAAAAATACCTAAATAATATCTAAAACTTAATATATTTAATTATTGTGTATCTTTTACTCGTTAATTTCGTTGCTAACCGTAGCAAGTTTTCTAAACAAAAAAAGTTACTTATGTGTAGCAATATACTTTGCAACTAAATAAATATACAGGAGTTTTATAATACTCTGATGTACCCTTAATCGAGAAAAGAGTGAAACTACTATACATAAAGAAATATGTCCAGAACGTAACATTTTTCCATATAACAAGACTGTTCTGGGGCAGTATTTTCAACAATTTATAGTAATAATAATAAAATTCATTGTGTGTGAATATATTTTGTATGTCTTGATTACTTAATAAAATTATAAATACAATTGTGTGATAATTTTATAGCGAGATTCATTAAATTGTACACATGTACCCGGCGAATATTTAAATTTTCCCGAAAACGAACCCCATGTGAACAAACTTTATTCTACATTTTAGACTTATGCATTATACATAATTTCGAAAACCGGTTAATCACGTGCACGCTGGATGTACGTAATTTCATTCCGAAGAGCTGGTAATAAAAACTCAAGAACACTTAAAATATACGTACTTGATGCTTATTATTTCCTGCAGTTAATAATAACCTCGCGATCGAGCGGAGTCAGCAATATTCAGTTGAATTCTACACACGAGACAACAAACGACAGATATGTACACTAGATACGGGCATAAATGGTACCGTAAGGTCTATTTTTTATTCCCGCATTCTCTGAACTGTGCAATAGGTTGAACCCGATGCGATAAGTTGAAGTGAAATAAATGAAAATAAATATGTATTTGTTTCGTTTCAACTTATTGGATCGTGTGCACCTGTTCAGAGGGTACAGGAATAAAAAAAACTGACCTATGGTACAAAAATATAAGGTATTCCATTGCGCACAATGGCGTTAAACTAAATTAGAACAACCAATCGAATGCTTGCCCCAAAGTTAATGGAATGCACGATACAAATGCATGATAACAAATGGCTGCGTTTATCAGAGAAAGCAGCTTTGCAGGTGTTGTAAAATTCTTCAATATGATTGGTTTATACGTTTAGATCCGTAAGGAACCAAAAGCAAGAACCAATCGTATTGAAGAATTTTACAACAGTTGCAAAGCTGCTTTCTTTGCTGAACGCAGCCAATCGTATTCCTTTTTACAATTTGGAGCAACTTGGGCTATGTTCCAAAATTGAATGCCTGTACTGAAAATCTATAGTGCACGTAACGTAAACTGTAACATTTTCAGTGTTGGCAGTAAATTTGGAACACAGCCTTGGAATACCTTATATTTTTCAGCCTGTTCTATGGCTACGTTTACACCATGCATTTAGGCCGCGGCCTGTACAATAGATGTCCTTGTTTATTCTGGCTGCGTTTCGTTATTCACTGTC